ACCTATATACTAATGGAAGAAAGTTCTGTGGAAATGAGTAGACCAAAGCCTCTTTCATACTTGCAAAACAGAAGCTGTTTCAATTTCTGTATTTACATTACACAATGAAATACTAAATAATCATCCTCTTATAGACTAGAACATGCAAACTCAGTTCAGATGGTTAATTTAAGGTTCCTAGTATGAATCTACCAAATTGTGTGGTGTATACTATGGATAACCTTATTGACAAAATTGTGGATAAACTTGAAAACACAGCCAATATTATATAAAACTGTAGCGCTATGGATCTGGGTGCTATTTAAGGAAATACATTTATGGGATCATTGTTATAAGTCTCTATTGTTCATTGTTATAAGCAACTATATTAATATATAATTGATATAAGGAAGTACTGGAACGCGTAACACCAGACATATCACTAGAAAGCAAAATCACAAAACTGTGTCTCACTTACTTTGGCCATGTCATGCAGGGGAATTCACTGAAGAAAGCAATTATGTTTGAAAGAGTTAGCGATAAAGAGAACACCAGGCCATCAAAGAACACGGTATCTGGACACTATCAAAGCTGACACCAGCCAGGACATAGAGAAACTCAAAGAAGTACTGCAAGTTCAGAAGATGTGGAGAAATCTGGCTCATAGAATCACCAAGAATTGAACTTGGCTAAATGGATGATATCATCATCATCATCATCATCATCTAATTGTATTTTCTAGTAGTGTAGAAATATTGTCATTATGCATTTACGTGTATACAAGAGAGAGAGAAAGTTTTCCACAAAAGGAAGTTTTACATTTTTTACCCATTCCTGCACAGATCCTATTAACTATTCCCAGATACTGTTTGTGGACCTATAGTAAAGCAAAAGAGGAAGTACTGCATAGAAAACAAACAGAAAAAAGATCCACAATTACTTTATTAAAAATATAAGGAAAGTGTCTGGACTGCATTACAGAAACTCACAGAACCTTATTTCTAATTCTTTAAGTTTATGATCAGTCTGTACACTATTCTGTTGTTTGTTTCTCTACCCCCTGAAGAGAAATAAGGAGAATCAAACAGCCAATAATTTTCTAAAATGTTATAGTTGCATTCAAATAAATCAAATCATCAGAATCATTAAGAACAATTCTTTCAATTTTATATGCTGAATGTTATGCTTTCAAGCTGCATTTTCCTCTCTAATTTCCTGATCCAACAGTACAGATTATTATATCTTTAACTCTCATAGAATCGATTTGTATTGCACCATTAGGCCGATATTCACATTGTTTTCCTACACACATGGACCTATGGTATTTACGTCATGTGTGACTGTTTTCTTAAGATATATGCTCTTACACATTCATTTAAAGAATTCACAGTGGTTCTAAATGGTTTTCTTACAGTTATCACACTCTTGTATTACTTGGATTCAATTTTTAAGACATTCCAAAATGGAAAGGAAGTGAATCATCTACATAATAGAAATATTGGCAAAGGTGGAAATGTTCTGGCACTCTAGAATTTCTTAACTGCATTTCTAATAATTCCTGCTCACCAACATAGTTAAAGATCCAAACAATATAGTTAACGATCAAAAACATTGTGGTTTCCACAGTCTGTTCTATGGAAGGGCTATATAAAGAGGATTACTTTATCCCCAATAAGCCATTAAAGTTCTCACATAACCTCCTAACTAAAATTATTGACATCAAACCTTCAGAAATATTCTAACATTAAATAAAATAAATTAGTTTATAATAAACTGTTTCTATAATGAATTGATGGAATTATTTGTTGCAAATATAAGATTTAAATGAAGAAAAAGTTAATAGAATAGAAATATCCTTACAATTAATAATCAACCTATAAACAATTTGTAATGTACAAAAGTTAATAATCACCTAATTTTTTTCTTGATTTTCTCCTCTCATATTTCTAATATACTGTAAGGGTATTTGTATTCTGAAATTTTAGGATGACATGTTCATTAAATTTGACACCAGATATAGATTCTTCTAAATTTCTGTCATGTAGATCCCCTTTAATAGTTTTATTATGGTAAGGTCCTTAAGACTGTACAAAACTTTGGATTCAATTCTGAAAAGTTGTTTGGCATATGTGGGTTGTGCTATCCATAGACAGAACATGGGTTATAAGTATAGCAACAATTTCCAACTTTTTTTTAACATGGCAGCATATGCTCTAGAGTCTATATCACAAGGCAGAGCAGCCATGAAATCCTGGATAAACAATACAGCTGCATTAAAGTGTTTCAAACAGGTGAAGTATTACAATCACATTTATGTGCACACTCCAAAGCAGCTTTTTAGAACTGAACTTAAAACACTGCCCAGTTCTAATATCCATTATGTTCCAAATGCAAACAAAAAATAAAATGTGCAACACTAATTATATTTAAAAGATTATTTATGCTGTTTTCAATTATCCAATAATTGTTTATATTATTTTCATATTTAGTAATTGTAACAAAAGCTATTAGCTATACTATAGGAATAAGTCTTTGCACATTCATTTAAAAATAAAAACTATCTTCTATAAGATTTATTAAGTTGAACAAGCATAGAGTAGCTGATCAGATTTATTTATCTCCCACCTTTATTTTTACAAATAACTCAAGACAGAAAACATAAAACACCCCTTCCTCCTCCTATTTTCCCCACAACAACCCTGTAGTTTGGGCTGAGAGAAGGACTGGCCAAAGTCCTCTATCTGGTTTTCATGGCTAAGGCAAGACTTGAACTCAGTCTCCTACTATATACACCTTAACCACTAACATAGTAAATTATCAATAGTCTCCTAATTAGACCAAAAAAAAATATATCCCCAGAGAATTCTCTGCATCTCACCAAACTTCAGAATGCTTAAAAATAAATTCCTTTAATTTAGCAGCAATTAAAACCATTATCACATATAAAATTCATTTAAATCCCTGCATCGTGACCTGTGATTAAGCTTCAATGAAGCCCATAGGATAGTGGTGGCTAACCTTTTTGGGCTCCTGTGCCAAAAATTGCGCGCTTGTATGCCAGCACCCAGAAGGCAATTGGCGCAGGGGGACCACGCCACTGCGCGTAAGACCCCCGCATGTGCCGCGTGTCTCTGCGCATGTGCACACATCTGCGCACCCCTCCCCCTGCGCATACACACCAGATACCAAACAATCAGCTGTTGGGCATGCAGTGCGCGCACATGCGCAGTGGGGCTCTTCTGGGTGACCTCTCGCGTGCCAGCAGAAATGGCTCTGCGTGCCACTTCCAGCATGCGTGCCATAGGTTCGCCATCATGGCCATAGGATATAAACATTCAGAAGTTTGCACTGTTATTGCTTATTATGTACTTTAGTTCCATTTATTTCAGTTATACTACAAAGTGGCAACCTCAGTTTTCCTATCAAGTTTGACTCCTTGGACAATTTTATTTAAAAGTCCACTTGTTAGCAAACATATTAGTTGAAAAGTTGCATGTTTCACTGCACTGAAATTATCTTAGATATATCCATTATACTACTAATTCTCATAGCACCCATATAACTGGCAAGTCAGTCTACTATTATTGTTTTCTACCCCATATGTATATAAAATCATAATTCCTTTAAATTTAATGAGAATAATTTTCTAGGAATATGGGATTGTAATTTTTTTCATCTTTTAAAAACTCAGTTATGTCAACTTCAGACAGGATGATACATACCCATGATTAAGTTTTCAAGTAAATTATTAAATAAAAGACTTACAAGTATGTTTGCTACAGATTTCTGCCTACTGTTTGCAATTTTTCTTATAGACTTTCAGAGTTTTATTTTCTATGGACAAATATAGGTAGTCATCATTGATATAAATGTGTGATCTGTTTGCTACTCTCAAGTTTAACATTTTTATAATGATATACAAAGCTCATAATATATTACACAGCCAAATGGTTTCCTATACATTTAAGGCTCTTCCAGAACAATTCAAAAGAAAGCCCTGTTTAAATTCTAATTTTCTGCAGAAACTTTTTTTTTTTTAGTTTAAAACCTGCACTTCATATTCAGACAGAAAACTCACTGCTCTATCACTTATATCTGAACAAAAATAGAATTCAAAAATTTACTAAAATATTTATATATACTTTCGTCCTTTCTAATGAGGTAAAGTGGCTTAGAAGGAAATTTGACAGCTAGTGCCCCCCAATTTAGCACTAATAAAAAAGAATAGATTAGTTAGATGCACTTCAGCTGCAAAAACATTTTATCATTTTGTTGACTGGGAGGTATTTCAAAAGAAAATTAAGGACCCTTACCTCCACTGACCTTACTGGTTAATTAAAATTTATGGGAAATAAATGAGGTTCTTTTGGAAGTCAGCAGGAATTACAAAGGATCTGGATCAAAATTCTGGGGCTTAAAAACTAGTCAGTAGGTGCTGATTAAAATTCACTACCATTCACTACCATTCATAAGCCTGTGTCTTATGCAAGTCCTAAGTACAATTTTATTAGTTTTGACATACCCTTTGTAGATGTATGCATTTTTTAAAAAAGGCTTTATACAACTATAAAGCAAGGATATCTAGCAATCATAGAGTTGACCATTAGTGAAATTATAACATAAGGTAATCTATCTAAAGAAAATAAGCCACCTTGGGGGAAAAAGTGTTTTAATATATAACTTTATACAATTGAGAGTTACTAAAATTTGAGAATTTCTTCTCTTGCTGCAGTGTCTAGGTACACACAACACATGATTTAAGAAAATCAGGGCTCATTTTTAACACTTCCATCTGTTTTTTGTTTGTTATTATTACACCTTTTTCCTGGGTCATGGAATGTGATGTAAAGTTAAATGCCACTTGACATGGCCATTCCCCTGTAATTAGAAACCACTTTGTTTTGATAAGGGCTCTTTCAGAAATGGGTTTCCATATCAATTTGCCCCCTATTGCTTAACACTAGACAAAGCATTTCAAGCACTACTGAAAGGGTAGTAAAAATAGAACAGACAACACTTACCTTTATCCCTTGGTGCTGTGTGGTTAAGGTTAATTTGGATTCATCCAGAAGCAGAACTTCGCAATAAAATTCCTCAGGCACTGCACAGAAGCAGCCCATGGCTGCTCCAGTGTCTTGGATGTCAGAGTGCAAATGATAAAAAAAGAGATGAACGTAAGTAACTTCAAGCACAGCAAAGGGGAAACCAAATAACTCCTTCTGATCGGCAATTTTTATTCCACTCGGATCAAAGGTGAAAGAAAAGCAGACTAGTCTTTGTCTTCAACGAGCTGCTAAAGAGGGTGGCTTACACCAAAGGTTAAGTCTTCATCAGGCATCCTGCAAAAAGAGGGGGAAAAGCCCAAATCCCTCTTACCACTTTGTAAGCAAGGGGGGAAAAAATCTATACTTCATTGTCAAGCTGTTAAGAGTGAATTCAAAAGAAGAAAGTTGTCAGAGGTAAATCCATTATAAAGTTTCACACGCTCCTCAGCCCTATGGGCTTCTTTGTTCACCGTTCAGCTAGGAGAGTCTCTTGGCCTCTGAAGCACACGGGTGCTGTGGATAATTGAGCAGTTAACAAGCTTGCTCTGGATATCAATATGAGGCAATCACAAGAGAAGCTGGTCATCCTTCAAGGCCTACTAGGGCCCGAGCCCTTCAAGCGCAAAAGAACTTAAGAAAGGCACCCGGGCCGGGAAAAAGCTCCAATTCCTCCTCGGCTGCACAACGCCGGGCGCTCCAGCGAAAGCTCCTCCAAGCCCAGTCCCCGGGATTAATAATTACCCACGTTCCCCTCCCCCTTCCTCCTCTCCCTCGGGGATTGCTCTTTTGTATGCCGAGAGAAAAGGAAGGATCCGGGCAGGAGGGAAACCGCCCCGCCTTCAGCGCGCACACCCCCCTACCCCCGCCTTTTCCTATCTGACAACGGGGGATACGGGGGCTTACCTGGAGGTGCGGAAAAGCCAAACCAAGAAGCCGCTGCCCCTGACAGGGCGTGAAGAAGCGGGCTGGCAGGTACGGACCGTTCACCTTTGTGGGCTAATAAAGCACAACCACAACAGCTTGCGCTTTCTAAGCCAGACGCAAACCCGTCTGCCTCGGACACACACACACACCCTTCTCTCCGCGGCGCTGAAATCGTAGGGGGGGGGGGTGGCGGCGGCAGTGACACACCGTATGGCTCCTATTGCCGTTTTCTCCCGGCCTTGTCCACTCCTCTCGAGTAGGCTTTTCCCGTCGGGGAAACAGCGAAGGATTCAGGATTCTTCTTGTCGCCCAACTCAGCGGGCAAAGTTCCCCGCGAAAAGCGGAGCGAGCCTCGGGCGCAGCAGTTAACAAACGCCACCTGCCCCGGAGTGGGTCCAGTCGCTCAGTTTCCTTCCCAGCTGGAGAAGCTGAGCGTGCGAGATGTCAACACTGCTTCCTCGCCGAACCTTCTCTTTCTCCTCCTCCACGGATGAGGCTCGGCTTCCCGGTCCACCTTTGCCAACATGGCCCAGGATGGTGCCAGGAGGAGCGGCGGTCGCTTTCCTTGCCCAGCCCAGGGGCAGCCGCGGCTCCTGCGCGCTTCTACCTTCAAGGCGAGCAACGCCTCCGCTCAAGCTGCCGGCTTGCCGCCTCCTCCTCCTCCGCGGCTGAGAAGTCGGACTTGCTCCCGGGGAATCGCTGTGGCTCTGGCACCTCCGTGATGCCGGCTTGTGGCTGGGCTGCCCAACCGGCGTTTTTGTCTCCCTCCGCCTTTTTGCTCCCGCCAACCTTTCACCTTCCCTGCCTTAGCAGCACAGGCGGGGGAGGAGGCGTAACTGTGCAAGGACAGCAGTGACCCCTACCGGGCGATTCCGCCAAGCCGGACTTGAACATGATGATTCAGAGAGGGAACGGCAGAGTGTGCTTTTAGATGAATAACCACTCCAGGAGAGATTTAGCATGCAAACTATTTCTTATGGAGACAGACATCTCTCATCAAGAGTTGTCTTGGCAAAAGGAGAGAGGCATCATTTGCTGGAGACTGCTGCTTGCTTTGGATGGATTTAAACACATCTTAAAAATGTCTATCATAGATGTTCTTACAAGCCCTTTACATAATGTTTGGAAGAAGGATTTGAACTTGCTTCCAATTTATAAAAATTCCCTGAGGCCTTTCCTGTGCACATTCCACTTAAATCGCCTTTCAGATGTACAGCACTGTACGCCTATATTACACCAGGGAATGGAGCAATCAGATATCACTAGACAGCATAGCATTCAATTGGTAAAAAAATTGCATAGAATGCTGAAAACTTACCAAAGGTGTGATGAGAGTGCTTTGTGCTACATAAAATCATCCCCCCTCAATCTTAATTTTAGGCTGAGTTCAATTTCACATTAAGTCATGATGTGGATTGTTTGTGATTAAGGGCTCTTTTTCCCATCCCGGAATCTACTACTAAGATGCTTGGTCTTTTTCTTCATGACATTATCCAATATCCGTGTCTCATTGCTAGCTTATTTTTTTTCTTTTTTTATTAACTTTTTATTCCACTCCACCATATCATGCAGCAACTCTTGGTGGTTTATAATATAATAAAAAGTTAGAAGGTCCTGCAAGAAATTTAAATTAGAGGAATTAAATAGAAAATATAAAAACAAAGATGGTGGACGGTCTGGGAGTGGAGATCTTTTCTACATGGTCAGTCACCCCCAGCATAGCAGGCCTTTGTTAGGGCCCAAGCCAAGCAGCAGAGCCAAGTTTTCAGGCTCTTCCAGAAGGCCAGGAATATGGGGTCAGACCTCACTTCCAATGAGAGAATATTCCATAGAGCAGGGGGCCTAGCAGAAAATCTTGTCTTGGACCCTGCCAGTCAAAACTCTTTGGCAGTTGGGATCCAAAATAGACCCTTTCCACAGGAAAAAAAATGGGGCAGGCTAGTGCCATTGGAGTGCGATGGCTCCTCAGCTACCCTGACCCCATGCTATAGTTGGTTAGTTCCTTTGTGGGTCCAATTCGCAAAAAGGAAACATTTTTTCTTTTTAAATAGAATTTTAGGTATGAATACAATCTGGTACACTTGAGTGTTTCTCAACCTTGACAACTTTTAAGAAGTGTGAACTTCAATTCCAAAAATTCACCAGCCAGCATGCCAAGGTAAGAAATACTGCATTACACTAATGATACTGAGCCATTCAAGGATTAACCTAACTCCGATTGGCTACTTTATGCTGCTGCACACATATTTCATCCATTCCCATTGCTGGGATCTGCTCTCTGTGGTTATATTGGCTTAGTCTATAGGAAAGATTAGGCACCTGCCCCTGCAGAGATATCTGCCTGCTTAATGCCTGACTAATGCTTTCAATTGGTTTAGTACCTTTTGGAAAGAGTGCTAGACTTATTTTCTAAGCAGCACTTCATTTTTAAACTGCAGAGAAAGTTAACTTAAAGCATGAGAAAGAGCTGCTTTTTCCAACTGTTGCTACAACTGTAGTTTTGCCGCTTCTACCAACAATGAGCTTCTGTGGAGAAGGTGACGCCATCTTGCCCACTCTAATTCAAATTTGGCACTGATGACTAGGGAAAAATTAACTGTCTGATAATTCACAATTCTCATACAACATTTGTCAACAATGGAACATGGTTATTATTGTTACCACCCATATTCATCTTCCCTACCTGAAACCTGTCAGCTGGATTGTTTTCAACCTGAGTTTAGCACTCTTCAGTAATAGCTCGACTGAGAGGGACAGATGAGGGGCTGCACTGAGTAGGAGCAGTGGGAGCATTTCCTCCCACTTTACCTCAGGTATCCCTTTACACTTGCAATCTATTAGTCAGACAATTTGACAGATGGATAAACCTGTTGTTTTAAGGACTCATCTATGTTCACCCAACCATATCCCAACCCAGGGACAGTAGTGGCTTTTTTTTTTGCCCACTGGGAAATGGGAGGGAAAATTAAGCCAAGCAAATCCAGTTCGGCTTCTTAGTTTGGTATGTGACAAGTGTTTAAAAACACTTATTATGGCAGAGAAGGAGAGCCACAGTATTTACACTAGCATATTTTCCTGAAATCTTAGAGACTGATAGGTAGCAGTACAACACAATGGTCTAGAATAGTACTTAATTAAACAATCAATTATTAAATAAACTACAAATCGGTGCAATGTACAGACTTTAAGACTTTGAAATTGTTTTAAGAATATTAACACTTATATTTCAAAATACAATCATCTTAGAATCTTACTCTCATCCAAATGACTCCTGTGGGAAAGAGAGGGGGGTGGGGAAAGAGACTGACTCATACTTCTTCCAGGGCATGGTGAAATGTACATTTTTGAAACTACATTCTTAGTCACAAATGAAAGAATTTGGGCCATAGCCAATTCCATTCTTTTTTACATGACATTATTTAAACATACTTCAGTGGTTTTGCAATCGGAATACAAAATATTTCAAAGTGTTGGTGAGGGTTTGGTCTTTTTCTTATTCCAGGAATCGTTGCATTGGTCTGTGATGAATTGTCCTGGGGTCAGTAATGAAAACGGGTAGATAAGTCTTTAAATAAATTGCTTTTTTAGAACCTAAAAAAACATTTGTTATCATACTTCTTAGGGAAAGGAAGTACTCTAAAAGCATGTGAACAAGATACCCCAAAGACTTGTTTCAATGCTAATTAGTACACTAAGCTTTATTTTTAAATTCCTTTCAAAACAAGACTGTTTCTGATATGCCCTCCCTAAAATGGGACACTTAAATTACAATAATTCTGACACTGCTTTTGGCACCTTTCAGCTCATACAGGTAGTCCTCGACTTATGACCACAACTGGGCCCAACATTTCTATTGCTAAGTGATACCTTTTTTAAGTGAATTTTGCCCCATTTTACAACCTTGCTTGCCACAGTTGTTAAGTGAATCATTGCAGTTGTTAAATTAGTAACATGCTTGTTAAGTGAATCTGTCTTCCCCACTGCTTATCAGAAGATCACAAAAGATGATTACATGACCCTGGGCCATTGCAACCATAAATATGAATAAATACGAATCAGTTGCAAATTTTGATCATGTGATCATGGAAATGCTTCAACTGTTGTAAGTGTGAAAAATATGATCATAAGTTACTTTTTCAGTGCTGTTGTAACTTTAAACAGTCACAAAATGAATTGTAGGTTGAGGACTACCTGTAATTGATTTTGATTTTATTTTTAAATTATAGTGTTGCTCTAAGATATTATACGCACTATGACAAATGTTAAACATTTAGTTAGTTATACTTTTTAAAGAAGTGGTGGTGAAGCATTAAAATCAACTTTGCAGTAATAAATCCAACAATAACTCAAACCCAATAGAACATATATCAACCAACAGAATTGAAACTAAAATATATAGATACCCATTAATCAATCCATACATAAATTATATACCATTCTGGAAACTCCTGTAAGAAAACATGGTATGACAATATTTTAAAAGAAATGTATATTGTTTTTCTTAACTGGAAATCCCATTCTGTTTCATTTATCCACTAACAATTACAATAGAAATGGCCTTCTGGTATTTAAATCTGTAGTATAAAAGTACACAGTGAAGCTCCACCGAGCACAAGTGAAACGTTCAAAGGCTTCTAGAAATTTGGCCCACACACAAGTAATGAAGTTTTATGCTTTGCAGAAGCATGCTGTGACCTGTCCACACAAGCTTGCCTTATGCAGTTGTATTAAGATTTTTGCATTTCTGAAGGGGAGTGTCTGTGAAGATGGTACCTAACAGGCCACTGAGAAATATAGTTATTGCCTCACCTTACCTCCAGGGAAAATAGGAAATGGCTAAGAGTGATGCTTCAGCATTGTTTTATAATAAACTTCATTCTCTGAGTTCATCAGTGTGAATTCAATTCATTTTCTCCTAAGCATTTTTTTCATTGTTCAACCCTAGCTTTAAAAAGAAAAAAGAAGTACCTTCTTTATTGCTAGGTTAGCAAAGAGAGCTGTGATAATTGTTGAAATCTTTCACCTGGACCAGTGCACTATCAGAAATAGTTCTGATTTATTGATCAATGCCATAAGTAATTTTTAGGCAATAGTCAAATTTCAAAAGTAAAACTTCAGGCAAGGAGTGAAAAGGAGAGCAATTTAGCTCTTAGAGGTTCTCACTTTCTTTACCATTCTTACTTTATTTAGCAGGAGCACCAAAGAAACCATACCATAGAAAATAGGTAGAATTTTTCTCCCAAATATCAGGAGAACAATATTGAGTGCTATGGGCTGCTACCATCTTAAGTGGTAAATAAGTAAGTAATAAGTAATTTTTGAGCCTCTAACTTAAAAGCAAGCAAATATATTTTTAAAAGTGTCTTTCTGTAAACCTATGTGATCCTAATAGAGGTGTTTCAAAAATGCTATCAAAATTATTAATGAACAGTAATTCTGTTTCCTGTATTCAATCAGGTTAATACATTTTAATTAAGCTCTCCATTTATTTGCTATGTTCCTGCAACTCTTGCAGTGAAAATATTATGCACATTTGGTTACTTGGTTAATTTTAAAACTACACCATATAGCAGAAAAGGTAGCAGCTTTTTGAATGCTTCCACTGCATGTATCATTGATAAATGATTTATGTGGGATAGGATTCCAAGTAGTTTTTGATTTTTTGATTATTGATTATTTAGATTTATATCCCAGCTTTATTGTTTACAATTCAAAGAAGTTTTCTCCTCTTGCTTTTCCCCACAAGAGTCTTATGAGGAGGTTAAGTTGGCCCCAAGTTATACAGTCAATTTCTGCATCTAATGAAGGACTAGAGGGCCAGAACCCATGGCATCCAGGTTTCTAGTCCAACAACTTAAACCATTGCACTCAGGTAATGTAAAGGTGATCATGAAGCTCCAGTCAAGACTAGTTACCGGTAGTTATATTATGTTTAGAACAAGAGTTTTGTCATTAGATATTGACAGCAATTAATTTATAAAATGGTAATTATTTATTCCACATTTGGAGCGACAGTGTTAATCTGTAGGTTTAGACTTACAAACAAACTTCTCCTCTGTACTTAAAATGCATAGTTAGCATTCTAGTGGCTGCAAAAATTAGCCAACAGGAAATCAGAGTAGATTAATTTCAACAATTTCAAGAGGCTACTCTTTGAAGTCAGCAGGCATCTATTCATCAGTGAGATATTATCTTCAATTATTATTCTCAAAGTGAAGCACTTTACTTACCATTTTCACATATTCACACTAATGCTAAAGTGACCTGTCACTTGAATGGATGTTTAAACTATAGCTGGAGGCAAAACATTGGAATGAATAGTTTATGATGTCCTTTGTGTTCAGTTTATTAACAGGGCTATCTTTTTAGTACATTATTTCTTTGTAAAAAAACATAGCTAAAATACCATTATGACTTTTCAATTTAATCTTTCCATGATTAAACTCTTAATGAGATAAATTAATGCTGTACTATGTATGTGAATTTTGGATTAAATTCTTATATTCTGTAACTAGAGTAACTGAAGTCTAAAAACACAGATGATTATGAATAGTGACATGTTTTATTCTGTCCTTCTGAAAATATGGTATTGACTGATAATTGTAATGCAATCAGATTTTTAAATTATTTAGCATCTATAAATTCTATCATTTTGTTACAAATATGCTTTATTTGTTAAGAGTTTGGGAATGAATGTTTTATTTTAAAGTATTAGATTGTTGTTAAACTCTCCTGATAAGGAGCCATGTGAAATTATAATTCAAAAACAAAATCAGAAATCTTCCATAGTGAAATGGCTGTTAATATAAATGGCCACTCAAGAGTAAAATATATTCATAAGTTAATGCATATGGAATAGAATCAAGATTTTCAAAAATCTGTCATTTAAACATAAAGCTTTCAACATATACAATAGAGTTGATCAAATATCCATAATAGGATGGATAAATTTAAATTACCAATTGAACTGCTGTCACTTAAGCTCCATTATGAATGTTAAGAATATGCAAAGTAATGATGATAGAACAGAGGTTGGCTGCTGCCAGTTCAGACTGGTTCGCCTGAATTGCTTGTTTTGATTTTGCGTGGTTCAGAGAACTGGAAAATCGGACCACTGGCTGGTCCCACCTCTGGCCATTTTTCGGGCCATTTTCAGGC